CCAGCTAACTTCTGATTGGTTCCTTGTCACAAGACAGGCATCTGACTTTCTAGTGTCTAGAACAAGGTCATAGAAGCACATGTTCGACCGTTATGGCTGCTGAAAGGGAAGCTGGTTCCTTCACTTCACTACCAGCAAAAGTCTTCAACAGTCACCTGCCCACTCATGTCTTTCCTGGGTGCTCAGCAGGGTGCCACTGCATGTCCTGTTTCCTCAGCACAGTTTCTCTGATGAGGATCCCATGCCCTGCGGCTCATCCTGGGGAGCAGAGAGATGTGCTCACTTTCACTGTCTGGAAAGAGGATGTTTGCGGTCAGTCATTTGGGAGGTTGACTGCTTTTGAATCTAGTCTATTCTTTTCTGCTTCAAAAAACAGTTTGCCTATAGACATAACAGAGGGATCAGATGAAGCAGCCAATGTCCTGCTTCTTTTTCCTCCATGGACACTGATAAAGACTACTAGCAGGAAGTGAAGTCTGTTTTGAGAACTTGGCTGTGTTGCAGGACCCTCTTGTCCGTCTCTGGTTCCAGTACACTTTGTTGGATTGGGGCATAAGCATTACAGCTGAGAGTGAGGATGGGAAAAGCCTACCTTTTGATTCTGACTGTCAGCTCTCTGGGTATTTTTGTTTTGCCTACCTTGACCTTCAGAGTACTGGGATTAAAGGTGTACACCACGACTGCATCTCTCTGCCTAATTTTTAAAGCAGAAAACTGCGCTGCGAAAACCTGTTCTGTGTTGTTTGGTCTTTGTTTTGTAAAGGCCAGTCTGGTCTATAGAGCAAATTCCAGGACAGCCAGAGCTACAGAGAGAAGCCTGGTTTCAGAATAAATAAATTAAATAAATAAATAAATAAATAAAAAACAAAAAATAAGCAAGAGAGACTATGTAACTAGTAGTTACATAGTCTGCTGGCTAGTGTTCTGGGTCTTTGTGGCAGGTTTGAAAAAAAAACCTAATGAATAAATGCAGGAAAATAAAGAAGAAATGAACTCAGGTAGAAGAAATTATGTGTGGAGAAGAGGGAGAAATGAGGGAAGTAGAGAGGAAAGATTAAAAAAATCAGAGAAGAGATAGTAGGAATGAGAAGGGAGAGAGAAAGGCAGAGGGAATCAATGAAAGAATGAATGGATGAACAGAGAAAGTAAGCAAGTGAGCAACAGATTATAAATAAGCAAATCACAGGGAAAGGGAATTGACTTCTGTCTATTTGATTCTGCCCTGCATGCTAGTTAGTCTCCATGGTGATGGGACACAGTGATGGGGCGGGGTGGCTGGCATCTTGGAGCAAAGCAGTTCAGAGCCAGTCAAAGACAGTGTAGTGGGACAACAGTCTCTGTACTTGGTCTGCCTTCACCCTCAGAAGGTAGGTCTGAGAAGACCTCTTCTGGCTGCCTTCGTTAGGGACCCTCCCAAATTGGGCAAGAGTTGTCTCTTGTGTTCTCTGGGGTCCCTTGGACTGTCATAGTTTAGTCTATTCAAACTATATTCTATGGATTGAAAGCTGTTTGGGGGAGTATTATCTCAAGGGTCCTTTACGCAACAACAAGCTGTTCTATGAATGCTGCTGTCAGTAAATGAAGAGGAAATGTATTCAGAACTAATAAATTATATTGAAATATAACTAGGAGCATATTAAAAGGGCAATAGAGTGACATATGCTTCTCCATTAATATAATGGTGGCCCTAACAGGCATCATAATTGTAAGACAATGAATGTGGTACCCACATCTACTGTGCTGCAGTGTGGAGACACTGGGGCTGTGAGGACCTTCCTCACCAGCAGTACAGATACCGTTATGGAAAGGTGTTACAAGTTCAGTTCAGTTACAAGTTAGTAAATACAAAAATGGAATTTTCCATTCAGGCTCACACTCCCTGGGTTCTAGTGGCCCGTTGGGAGTTTTTTTGAACTTGCATTAGGCATCCTCCTGCATCTCCACCCTACCTCTTGTCCTCCTTTCTTCGCTAATTTTGCCCCAATTTCTTGAACTTCTGGAAGTTTGTATGTGACCATGATAAATGTCTCCTAAATCAGTGTTTTTGTATCCATTGTCTCAGCTGCCCACAATGCTCTTCTACAGAGTCCTGGTCCTTCACCTCTGCTCACTTCCTTACAGCAGCCTTTCCTAGAATCTTTCCTAGAATCCCTGATTGTAAGCCCAGCACATCCCTTGGCCCTTGAGCCCCAGATGAACACATGGATGCTATATTAGTTATAATACTGTTGATCAGTGATAATACTGTTGGTCTTCTTATTGGCTAGCTCTGGCTTAATTATTAAACTATAACTACTAGCCTATGTATTTCTACATGGTCTTATCTTATGGGAGAATGCCTGACTCGTATTCTCTCTTCCCTCCTGGGCTCCCATGACAATTCTTACTGCCTATACTTCCCAGAATTCTCTTCTTCTGGTAGCCCTGCTAATCCTTCCTGCCTGGCCACTAGCCAAACAGTGCTTTAATCATTAATCAATGAGAGAAACATATGTACAGAAGGGTAACCTCATCACCTGATGACACAGTTGTTCCTTGTTTGCTCCAGAGTGTACATATGACTTATAGTTTCTAGTTAAGAATCAAACACATAAAAGCACAGAGAATCACATATCTACCCAAGAGGATGCTAAGCCCCACAGAGACTGGGCCCCTTTGATGAACCCAGAGCTGAAACACCAATCACCTAGCAAAGACTGATAATGCTTATAGAATGGATGAGTGAATGCAGACTGAGACCTCACCTAATAAATCAGCATTTGTGCTTTCAACACTTGACTCTATGCCTGATACATGGTGGGTGAGGGTACAGTGATAGATCCAAGAATAAAAAAGCTAGCTGGATACTCCCAAGGTTGAAGGTCAGGTTGAAACTCACAGATATACTGGGCTTCAGTCTGACTGGCAAACCTACCTTACTGAGACATTGTGCAGCTCTTGGATGGCCTTCCAAGGCAGCTGCTTAAGTTTACTTCATGTTCTTTTAGTTTGATCCCATCTGTTTTTTTGGTGTCTAGTTTGAAAGCAGCTGATTTAGGGGTTGAGTCTTAAGCACATGATTGTGTTGAGCTCCTGGGCTGTGTCACCATCAGAGCCACCTCTAGTTGGGTTCGGTGTCTTGAGGAGCTAGGACTGGGTTAGGATGTGAGGCCGTCTCTTCTAAGCTGGAAGAACTACCTCTATACTGAGGACCTCCACAGGACTCATCTCTTCTGATCCATGGCTTTTACCTTCAATTTGTATTTATTTGTGTGTGTGTATCTGTGTGTGTGTGTGTGTGTGTGTGTGTGTGTGTGTGTGTGTGTGTGACAGGGTGCATGTTGAGGCCAGATAGCATTCCTGTTGAGTTGAGTCTTCTTTTATGTGAGCTTCAGGGATTGAACTTGGGTCATCAGATTTACTCTGCAAATTCTTTATTCACTGAACCATCTTGCCATCCTTTTTTCTGGATTCTTTTGATTTTTAAGCAACTGTGGCATCTGATACTTTGTTGCTTGTATTCTGTGACTTTGGAGGGGGTGACAGGGGAGCCCTGATCCTGCACCAAAAAGAGAGGCAAAGACAAGTGGCTAAGAGGGCCATGCCCTGTCCCTTCCTACTCAGGATGCCCAGCTGTTTCCTAGTAGTGTCCTGACCTTTCCCTGCCCAGAAAAAAGCCAAACTAGTGAAATTAAGGCAGATATCTGATATTCATGAAGTCTGATTGCTTACAAATAGATGGCATCTTAAAATATAAGGTGTCAGAATTGCAAAAGCTTTTGATAAATATGCATGTTTACAGGCCCAGCAGAATAGGGCAGTCAACTTGTTGAATGATTTCAAATGAAGATTTGGAACAGCCAGCTGCTGTAACTGGTTTATCATCAGACATCGGGCTGGATGACCAGAGAACAGCAGGCTAATTACATGTGGGAGACAGCATATATGCACCTCCTCACAGATCCTGGGGACACAAGACAGGAACAAGCTTTATTCAGAAGCACTGAAAACCCCTAAATTATTATTTACCTTTTGCTACTTCTAGTTTGAACCACTTTCGCTAAGTGCTAATTAAGGAATCCACAAAGCCTGCTGAGGGCTGATTAGGTACCAGGTGGAATTAGAAGTTCTTCTTCATAAATGGCAAATAAACTAGATATCATTAAATAAAACATGGCAGACTAGAAACAGACTATCATTAGCCTTTAGCGTGCATTTAGGCAAGGGTGTGTACATGTGCCTGTGTGTGTGTACGGGTTTGTGTGTGTGATGTACGTGTGAATACATTGTGTGTATGTTTCTCTTATTTAAGTTTTTTTTAGAGAAAGTACCAAGAATATATATTTAAACTAATTGTTTGCCCTCAATACTTTCTCTTATGAAACCAAAGCTATTCTACTAAAATCCTTTCTATTAATTAAAATTCATCTTGTATTACCAAAGGAGAATTTAATCAAACACCGCTGGATTAATTTCCTCCTCAGATATCTGTAAGTAATGTTTCTCAAAAGTAATCACCTCTCTGTCTCCTAAATCAGCAGTTCTCAACCTGTGGACCACAACCCTCTTGGGATTGAATGACCCTTTCACAAGGGTCACCCAAGATCACCAGAAAACACACATATTTATATTATGATTTATAACAGTAGCAACATTACAGTTGTGAAGTAGCAACAAAATAATTTTATGGTTGGGGTCACCACCACATGAAGAACTGTATTAAAGTTCGAAGAGTTAGAAAGGTTGAGAACCACTGTGATCTAAATGCTTTTCTTTCTTTTTTTTTTTTTTCCGTTGTTTGCTTTTTAAGACAGGGTTTCTGTGTGCATCCCTGGCTGTCCTGGAACTCATTCTGTAGACCAGAATGGCCTTGGCTCAGAGATCTGCCTGCCTATGCCTCCAGAGTGCTGGGTGTGTGCCACCACACTAGGCCAAAAAATGCCTTCTTTAAATGCTCTTTGGCCAAAGGCAAGGAGATCGACAGCTTCCACTGCTAGGTACAGCGGACCTAAGAATCCAAGTGACTTCCATTCTTTCACTCTCAATGCAAAGGAACAGGTGGAGAACAATGGCAAGGAGGATGCCGAGCTCCACACAGAGGGAGACAGATCTTTGAGCATTCCATTTTTTTTTTTTTTTTGCTGTTGTTGTTTCTTCCTTCCAGACTCCAGTATATTTGTCTCTTACCAATTAATCCTAAAAGGAATGATTAGATGATCTGTAAATCCATCTTTTATCATGCTCATTTTCTTAAAGCAAAGCCCTTTCAGGACTAAACTCTGGACTCTCCAAGATCCCTTGCCCTCTTACCATCATCATCATCATCATCATCA